GCAGCAGCAGCAGCAGCAGCAGGAGCAGCGGGAGCAGCAGGAGGGGGAGGATCTGCTGCTGCTTGTGGTGTTGGTGATGCTGCTTCTGGTTCTGCTGCTGCTGCTGTTGTGTCTCCTTCAAGCGCTGCTGCAGCAGCTGCTGCAGCAAGGCTGCTGGGGCTGCAGCAGGAGCTGCTGCTGCAGCGACTGAAGTTTAGAGATATTCGCGACGTACAGAAACACTTGAGTGCAGCAGAAGCAGCAGCAAACAGAGATGCTCTCATCAAGGTACGCAACCTGTTGCAGCAACAGCAGCAGCAGCAGCAGCAGCAGCAGAAGCAGTGGCAGGAGCAGCAGCAGCAGCAGTAACCAAGCAGCAGCAGCAGCAGTAACCAAGCAGCAGCAGCAGCAGCGGCAGCAAAAAGCAGGCAGCAGCAGCTGCAGCACTAACAACGCAGCAGCAAAGCGAAGAAACAAAAGAAAAGAAGCAGATGCAGGCAGACATAGACAGAGAGAGAGACAGAGGTAGAGAGAGAGAGAGAGAGAGGTAGAGAGAGAGCAGAGCAGCATAAAGAAACAGACAGATATAAACACAAACACGAAAGCGACAGCTCTAGGACATCCCTTTTGCTGCGCTTCAGCTGTCCTGCTGCTGCTGCTGCTGCTGCTGCTGTGGGGTTGGGGTGTACGTACAGACAGTGTACAGCCGCCTCTTTGACTTTCTTGTCTACAAAATTAATCTCTCTCTTAATCCTTCTCCTCTCCCGGAAGAAGCACCAGCAGCAGCACCTCCAGCAGCAGCAACAGCAGCAGCAACAGCAGCAGCAACAGCAGCTCCAGCAGCAGCTCCGGCAGCAGCAGCACCTCCAGCAGCAGCAGCAGCCACTGATGCTGCTGCTAGCAACGACGCAGCCTGTAAGCCCCTTTAATTATTTGTGTAGTCTCGCCCTTGCTACTCTGCGCTCTCATCTGCAGCAGCAACAGCAACAGCAGCAGCAACAGCAGCAGAAACAGCAGCAGAAACAGCAGCAGAAACAGCAACAATAGCAGCAACAGTAGCAGCAGCAGCAGCGGCACCAGCAGTAGCAGAAGTAGCAGCAGCAGCAGCAGCAGCAGCAGCAGCAATGGCAGCAGCAGCAGGATGTTAATTAGTGTGGGGTCTGCTGCTGCATGCATGCGATGCTGCAGCACAGAGAGGAGACACTTGGTTGGGGGTCCTCGACATCTTCGGCTTTGAAGACAGAGTAAATATATATTTTTGTTTGTTTGTTTGTTTAAATTTATATTTAGCAGGCTTCAATGCCTAGGGTTTAGGGTTTAGGGTTTAGGTTTTAGGGTTTGTATTTATTTGTACAGACGCTTCATATTTGCTTAAATGGTTTAGAGCGGGCATTAATATCTAGGGTTTAGGGTTTAGGGTTTAGGGTTTAGGGTTTAGGGTTTAGGGTTTAGGGTTTGTGTTTGTTAATACAGACGCTTCATCATCGCTCAAACGGTTTAGAGCAGCTCTGCATTAACTACGCGAGCGAGCGGCTGCATTGTTTGCTGCTGGAGGTTTCGATGGAAGCAGCAAAGGGCCGCTTCTTAGCTGAGGGGCTCTCTGCTGCTGCAGCACAAAAGCAGCAGCAGCAGCAGCAGCAGCAGCAGCAGCAGCAGCAGATAGAGACAGCAGCAGAGTTGCTGCAACGCAGTGCTGCTGTATGCAACGCCATCGCAGGCGCTGGAGAACTCCCAGGCGAATATACAGAAGAAATGCGCAAGGGAAAGTGTAAGTCAAGGGTTTAGGGTTTAGGGTTTAGGGTTTAGGGTTTAGGGTTTAGGGTTTAGGGTTTAAGGTTAAAGGCTTGGGGTTTAGTGCCTGGGGTTCACAGTTTAGGGTTTAGGGTTTAGGGTGTAGGGTTTAGGGATTACGATTTAGGGTTTGGGGACTAGGGTTTTTGGTTTAGGGTTTAGGGTTTAGGGTTTAGGGTTTAGGGTTTAGGGTTTAGTTGGGGTGTATGTGCTGCTCAGCTTTGTTTGCGTTGTTGGAGTCGTTTTGCTGGCTGCCGCCTCTCGCCTGCTCTGATGATGCCTTTAGCCAGCGAGTTAGGCCCCTTGCTGCTGCTGCTGCTGCTGCTGCTGTTATTGTTGTTGCTGTTGCTGCTGGTAATGCTGGTGCTGCTGCAGGTGTAACTGTTGCTGTTGCTGCTGCTGCTGCTTTTGCTGCTCGTGATGGTGCTACTGCTGCTGCTGCTGCTGCTACGATTGCTTGTGTGGCGCCCTGTGTTGCTCTGGCTGCTGCTGCTGCAGCTGCAGCAAATGTTGCTGCTGGTGCTGTCTCTGCTGCTCTTCCTGCTTGGTAGCAGCAGCGTTTGCTTGTTCGTTTGGTGCTGCTGTTATTTTTGCTGCTGCTGCTGCAGCCTTGCAGCTGCAGTCTTGGTGCTGTTCGTTGAGCTGCTGCTGCTGATCTTGCTGTTGCTGCTGCTGCTGCCTCTGTCGTTGGCTGTTTTTGATGTCTGTGCATATATGCTTTTCCGCCGCTGCTGTTGCTGCTGCTGCTGCTGTTGCTGCTGCTGCTGCTGCTGTTGCTGCTGTTGCTGTTGCTGCTGCTGCTGTTGCTGTTGCTTTAGATGTGGCAGCAGGCAGCTCCGAGCAGTCGCGACGGTCGGAAGATCATCAGGCCTTGCGGTACTAAACCCTAAACCCTAAACCCTAAACCCTAAACCCTTAGCTGGGTGTTTGCTTGTTTAGAGCGATCGACTGCTTGTCTCTGCTTCTGTCTCTCTTGCTTGTTGCTGCTTTCTCTGTTTGTTGCTACCCTTGGGTTTTTGCTGCTGCTGTTGCTGCTGCTGCTCCACTTGCTGGTGTTGCTGCTGCTGCTTCACTTGCTGCTGCTGCTGCTGCAGTTGCTGCTGCAGTTGGTGCTGCTGCTGCAATTGTTGCTGCTGCTGCAGTTGGTGCTGCTGCTGTATTTGATGCTGTTGCTGCAATTGCTGCTGTGGCTGCAGTTGCATTTGCTGCTGTTGCTGCTGTTGTTGCATTTGCTGCTGCTGCTGCTGCTGCTGCATTTGCTGCAGCTGTGAGTATTTGGGGTGTATACGCAGGTCAAATGCAGTTTGTCGTCGAACATTTCGCCGGCCCCGTGGTTTATTCGAGTGCTGCATTTGTTGCTGATGATGCAGATGCTCTCTCAGATGGTAAGCTGCTGCTGCTGTTGCTGCTGCTGCTATTGCTGCTGCTGTTGCTGCTGCAGCTGTTGCTTCTGGTGCTGTTGCTGCTGTTGCTGCTGCTGCTCCGGTTGTTGCCGTGGGTGTTGCTGGTGGGGTTGCTGCTGTTGTTGCTGTTGATGCTCTTTCTACTCTGCTCCCTGCAGCAGCAGTTGCTGCTACTGCTGTTGGTTCTTCTGCTGCTGCTGCTGTTGCTGCTGCTGCTTCTTGAATCAGGGGCCTGCTTGGGGTTGTTGCGTTTGCTGCTGATGATGCAGACCTTGAGCGACTCCTGGCAGCCTCAACAAGTCCGGTGCTGTTGTTGCTGCTGCTGCTGCTGCTTGTGGCGTTGCTGCAGCAGCTGCTGCGAGTTCTGTTGCAGCCGCTGCTTCCTGTGCTGTTGCTGCTGTTGTTGTTGCTACTGCTTTTGGTGTTGTTGCTGCTGCTGGTGCAGCTGCTGTTGCTTCTGTTGCTGCTACGGCTGGCTGTAAGTTGCTGCAGCAGCATTGTTGCTGTTGCAGCAACAGCTGCAGGTGTGGGGTGTATATACACCTCAATCTATTACTTTATTTGTGGTGTATATACACTTCAGGCTATTCCCGTCTTCTTTCTTCGTTTTGTTTTTCTAACGCTCGCCGATCCCTCAGCTGCAGCTTCGGTTTAGAGATGAAGGGCCTCATCAGAAGCCTTAAAACAACTGTAAGCAGCTGCAGCAGCAGCTGCAGCAGCTGCAGCAGCAGCAGCAGCAGCAGAAGCAACAGCAACTGCAACAGCAGCTGGAATACTGCAGCCGAGAACACAACAACGCAGAATCTGCTGCTGTCGCAGCAGCAGCAGCAACAACAACAACGCCAACAACAGCAGCAGCAGCAACAGCAGCAACAGCAGCAGCAACAGCAGCAGCAGCAGCAGCATGCGCATGCGTGTTTGCTGCAGGGATGTTCATTCATTCGGTGTTTCAAAGCAAACGACAGCAAATTGCCCCTCTTCTTCGATTCCTCTGTGGTGTACAGACAGCTTCACAGCAGGTGGAACCCTCTGCTGCTGCTGCTGCTGCTACTGCTGCTGCTGCTGCTACTACTACCACTACTGCTGCTGCTACTACTACCACTACTGCTGCTGCTGCTGCTGCTGCAGCACCGATTGTTTGCTTGTTTCTGCTCTTTCAGGCGCCCTCTAGGCGTTTGAATGGCTGAGCGTTTAGGGTTTTCAATGTTTTAGGGTTTAGGGTTTAGGGTTTAGGGTTTAGGGTTTGGTGTGTATGTGCAGCGGGACAGTTGCGGTGTTGAAGGTGCTGCAGAGCGGGTTTTGCTGCAAGCTGCTTTTGTCTGTCTTCTTGAGACGGTATACGAGGTGTCTGTCTCCTTCAGTGTTATCTCTCTTCGCCTCGGAGACAGAAATAACAGAGGCCCTCCTCGCAGCTATGCAGTTTCCCACCCGTCAGACAACCCTGCTGCTGCTGCTGCTGCTGCTGCTGCTGCTGCTGCTGCTGCTGTTGCCGCGCCTCGTGCTGATGCTCCTGCTCTTGATGGTCTTGCTGCTTCTGTTGCTGCTTCTGTTGCTGCTTCCGTTGCTGCTCCTCGTGCTGATGCTCCTGCTCTTGATGGTCTTGCTGCTGCTGCTGCTGCTGATGATGATGATGAGGATTAGGGTCTTGCTGCTGCTGCTGATGGTTGTGGTGGTGGTATTGCTGCTGCTGCTGTTGTTGCTGCTGCTATTTGCTGCTGCAGATGAATATAGCCTAGGGCTCTCTCATATATTCTTACGGCAGAGCGGCTTAGATAGGCTGGACGCCCTTCTACAGGCTTCATCAAACGAGCAGCAGCAGCAGCAGCAGGAGCAGCAGCAGCAGCAGCAGCAGTGGTGTAGAGACTTGGAAGCAGAAATGCTGCGGCAGCGGCTGCTGCTGCGACGCCGACGCATCGCCAGGAGACTGAAGGGGGTCTTCAGCTTCTGTCTCCTCTTCAAAAAACAAAGGGGTAACTGCTGCTGCTGCTGCTGCACCTGCTGCTGCTGCTGCTGCTGCTGTTGCTGCACCTGCTGCTGTTGCTGCACCTGCTGCTGCTGCTACACCTGGTGCTGTTGCTGCTGCTGTTGCTGCTACACCTGCAGCTGCTGTATCTGGTGCTGCTCCACGTGCTGGTTCTGCTGCTAGTGGTCCTGCTGCTGCTGTTGCTGCTGCTTCTGCTGCTGCGTTTGCTGCTGGAGTGCCTGCATACCCTTGTGTGTGTTGTTGCTGCTGCTGCTACTGCTGCTGCAGCTCAATGGATAGCTAAGCTGTGTGCTGTTCGGGTTTTGCTGCTGCACCTCGCCGCTCGCCGGAAGCAAATGCTGCAGCAGCAAGCTGCTGCTCTCACTGAGGCGCTAAGGGCAGCAGCAGCAGCAAAAGCAGAAGCAGCAGCAAAAGCAGAAGCAGCAGCAAAAGCAGAAGCAGCAGCAAAAGCAGAAGCAGCAGCAAAAGCAGCAGCAGCAGCAAAAGCAGCAGCAGCAGCAGCAAAAAGGGAAGAGGAGCAGCGAAGGATTCAATACCAAGCGATCCGCATTCAGGTATTCCTTGACCTCTAGATATTGAATTAGCTAGCTAGCTAGCTAACTACCTAGCTGGCTAGCTAAACAACAGGTGCAGAAGCAGCAGCAGCAGCAGGTGCAGCAGCAGCAGCAGCAGAGTTACGTTTTTGTTTACTAAAGAGGAGACAGTAACGAAGTCTTTTTAGTCAGGCGACTAATGAAGTGGCAGCTAGCTAACTAGCTAGCTAGCTAGCTAGCTGGCCAGCCCACGTAGCTAGCTAACTAACAAAGTATCCGGCTAGCCAGCTAGCCCACGTCAGTTACCTAACTAGCTAGCTGGATAGCTATCTAGCTAGCTGGGTAGCTAGCTAGCTAGTTGGGAAGCTAGCTGGCTAGCTAGCTAGCTATACAACAAACGAGCTGGCAGCGATCATTGCATGCTGCTGCAGCAGAGGCCCTCCTCGCATCAGCTAGCTAGCCAGCTAGGTATGTAGATAGCTAGCTAGATAGCTAGATATCTGGCTGGCTAGCTAGATAGCTAGCTAGCTAGATACCTAGCTATCCAGAGCTGCCTCTCACTTGGCTGTGCTGCGCTGCGCTGCAGCGATGGTGGAGAGCGGCAAGGAGACGCCGCAGCTTGCTGCTGCAGCAGCAGCAACAGCAGCTGCAAGAGCAGCAGCAGAAGGAATATGAGCAGCAGCAGCAACAGCAGCAGCAGCAACAACAGCAGCAGCAGCAGCAGCTGGTGACAGAGGCACAGGCGCACCTTCAAGCTCAGCAGCAGCAGCAGCTGTTGCAGCAGCAGCAACAACAACTGCAGCAGCAGCAGCAGCAGCAGCAGCATTATCAAGCAGCCGAGCTTGCTGCAGCAAGCCATCAGCCAGCCAAACGCCTGCGGCTGTCAGAGTCCCCTGCTGCTACAGCAGCAGCAGCTGCTGCTGCTGCTAGTGCTGCAGCTGCTGCTCCTCCTCCTGTTGCTGCTGCTGCTGATGCTGCTAGTGCAGCGCATGCGGGTACAAGCACCGATCAGCAGCCCGCGCAGCAGTCAGCAGCAGCAGCAGCAGCAGCAGCAGCAGCAAGAGCAGAAGCAGCAGCAATCTGCATCCAGAGACATTGGAGAGGCAGCAGCAGCAGACGAGGGAAGGCTGAGCTAACCCTGCAGCTGCTGCTGCTGCAGCGCGCAGTACGCCGGTGGCTGGCAGCAAGGCATTCTAAGAAGCAGCAGCAGCAACTGCTGCAGCAAGAAGAAATGAAGCAGCAACCGCAGCTGCTGCTGCAGCAACAGCAACATCAGCAGCATCAGCAGGAGCAGCAGCAAAAACAGCAGCAGCAGCACAAACAGCAGCAGCAGCAGCAGCAGCAGCAGCAGCAGCAAGAAGCTGCAGCAGCGGCAGCAGAACATGAGAATGTGTCTCCTGGTGGCCCCCAGTTAGCCTCGCTGGACTGGAAAGCAGCAGCAGGAGCAGCAGCAGCAGCAGCGCGGGCTGCTGCAGCAGAAGGTCGTGCTGCAGCAGCAGCTGCTGCAGTGTATATGCAGCAAATAGAAGCAGAGAGGGTCCCCTCTCACATTCCGAGGGCCCCATCGATAGGAAGACAACCGGTAAGAGGCTTCACCCGCACCCTTAGCAATTACTTGCTGCTGCTTCTCACTCCTGCTGCTGCTGCTGCTGCTGCTGCTGCAGGCGCGGAGGACAGACAGTAATAGCACCCGCAGCGCAACTGCTGCAGGGGGGCCCCTCAGCTACAGCCACTCACAGAAATCTCGCAGCCCTTGGGGGCCCTTTGCTGCTTTTGCTTCTTCGAGTCAGGGGCCCCCATGCTCCCCACCGTTTGCTGCTGCTGCTGCTGCTGCTGCTGCTGCTGCGCCTGGTGGGGGCGCTGGTGCTGCCGCAGCTGCGCTGCAGCGGGGGTCGCTTAGCGCAGCTCACAAGCCCAACAGCAACAGCAGCAACAGCAGCAGCAGCAACAGCAGCAACAGCAGCAGTCCTACCTTCTCTGTGGCGTCTTCAGCGCTGCCTTCTCCTGGGCTGCCTGCTGCTGCTGCCGGTGTTGCTGCTGCAGCAGCACTTAGTGAGAGCTGTCTGTACACCTCAGAATTGCTGTACAAATCCTTTATTCCTCAGCCACGCAGCAGGTGCGAACGCTTGCAGCAGCAACAGCAGCAGCAGCCTAAAACAGCAGCAGGAGCAGCAGCAGCAGCAGCAGGCTTCAAAGACACTCCAAAGGGCCCTAATACCTCTGCTATTCCTTCTCCTCCTCAACTCACCACTCAAAGAAAGAGACGTCCCAATGCCCTCTAGGGGCCCCCAGCCAGATGGGGGGCCCCTAACATAAGGGGGCCCCTCTAAGGCCTCTCAGTACCCTCTTCAGGGGCCCCCACTATGAAGGGGGCCCCCCACTATAAAGGGGGCCCCGGCTATGAAGGGGGCCCCCATTTAGTATGAGAAGGGCCCCTGGGGGCCCCCATTCAATATGAAGGGGGCCCCCACTATGAAGGGGGCCCCAGGGGGCCCCCAGGGGGCCCCCCATTCAGTATGAAGGGGGCCCCCATTGAATAGACAAGGGGGCCCTTTGAGGCCTCTCTGTGCCCTTTTGAGGTACCCTTCTGCTATAAGGGGGCCCCCCCAAGGGGCCCCCCGTTAGACAGCCCCTATAGGGGCCCCTGTACCCTTTCTAGGGGCGCCTGCATCTTCTTAAAGGGCTCTTTGTCTTAAGGGGCCCTGTAAGGGCCCCCCATCTTAAAGGGCCCATACAACGGGGAACTGGGGGGCCCCCATGGAGGCCCCCTATGCTTTGGCGTGCGGTTGGCTGCAGTGAGGCTGTTAAAAGTAATGAGGGTTTTATAACAGCAGCAGATAAGCTGCAGCAGCAGCAGCAGCAGCTAAAGCAGCAGTAGCAACAGCAGTAGCAACAGCGGCCGCTGGGGCTGCATAACAGCAGCAACTGCAACAGTAGTAGCAGCAGCAGCCATTGCAGCAGCATAACAGCAGCATTGCAGCAGCAGCAGCAGCAGAAACACTCCCCAGGTGCTCTCTGAGGGTGTCCCTAAAGCTCTATATGTTGTTGCTGTTGCGTGCATATACACCGCAGCATATAGGAGCTGCATATACACCTGAAGTGCATGCAAACAAAGACATCTCTCAGGGCATAGAACAACCCCACCCAATGAACACAGTTTTTCGCGAGGAAGCAAACACACTCTTAAGAAGAATATGTTTTTATCTTTTAAGTATTATTCATTATTATTTTAAATATTTAAATAATTTTATTTATATTTTCTTATATAATACATTATTCAACAAACCCTCTTCCCCC